AGCAAGAGGTAATAGGGACAGAAGGCAGGGAACATTTGAAAGGCAGCCTTTCACCTTGGGGGTGCTGGTGCTGGGGAAGGTGCGGGGCCCTGCCTGCTGCTCCTCCCCACTTGGGCTGTGCTGGCATCTCAGAACATCTGCCCAGGAGGACACCAGCTCACAGAGGGCCCACGAATGTGGGGTGTGGTTTGTAAATATTGAACTCTTTTCCAACACCTGAAAATCGGGGTAGCACAGAAAAGCCTGGATTTCTGGTTTCTTTTGAAAAATCAAAGACCTAGTGATGCTTGTGCCTTCATTCTCCTGGGTCAGAAACCGCTGAAGCAGCCGTGCAGCTGCCCCTGGGGACTGAGCACAGGCTCGCCGCCGGCCCCTCTCTGCTCCCTGCGTTCTCACAGGTATTTGAGTTTCCTCTGAAGGTGGCGACTCTGTGGCCATGAAGCAGGAGGCAGAGGGCCGGGCGCTGCCCCCAGAGGCAGTGAGTGCCCTGTGCTGAAGGCAGGTAAACAGAAGGTTGATGGCCCCTTGTGAAGGCCCAGGGGACCTCCATGGCAGTGGGAGTGGACTCAGGGTCTTTGGGGATCCTTCCAGCCCTGAGGATGGACGTTCCTGAGACCTTTTGTTGACACAGCCCGCTAGTACCCTGGGTTGTTTGTGCCGATGTCTCCCCCTTGTCCATCTGTTTTCTTTTCCTCTGTATTGTCACAAATGTGCAGACAGGAGCACAGCCTCACTCGTTCTCACAGAGTGAACATGTGCATGGATTACTCAGTCAAGAAACAAAGCACGGCCCTGCTGGTGTGGTTCGGCTGGTTGCAGCGTTGTCCTGTGGACACTGAAGGTCTTGGGGTCAGTTCCCAGGCAGTTCCAGGGCACATACCCAGGTTGCAGGTTCGATCCCCAGCCAGGGCATGTACAAGAAGGCAGCCAGTGGATGTTTCTCTCTTACATCAGTGTTTTTCTCTCTCTCTCTCTCTTTCAAAAGCAAAGAAAAGATGTCCTCAGGTGAGGATTATTAAAAAAGCATAATCAACCCCCCCCGGAGGTTCCCCCCACACCCCACCTCTGAGGAGAGGACACTCCTGGCCTCTGACCCCCAAGAGCGGGTCGTCACCTCCTGCACTTTATGTAAATGGACCAGCATTGCCCTTTCTTCGCTCAGCCGTGCCCACGAGGCCGGTCTGTGTGGTCACAGCAGTGTCATTGCACTCGGGCCTCAGAGGTTACTCGGTGCTTAGAGGTGAGCCTTGGCCACCCGCCCCGTCTACACTGTTTGAGGCCGCTTCCGCCCAGCCGCGGCCTGTTTGCCTCCCTGCGGCCGCGCCGTGATGCGGAGGTTCTGCCTGCACCTGACAGATGAGGAGACCGAGGCTCTGAGAGGACCCCAGCTTGCCAAGTCTCCCAGACGGTCAAGGCGGGGCCCGCACACTTGGGCCCAGAACTATGCCCTGTGTCTCAGATGCCCTGGGGCCCCTGCCGACAGGAGTGGCCCCACACATCTGTGCAGCCTGCCTGCCAGGAACTGGGGCGAGACAGCAAGCACTCGAGGGACAGAGTCTCCCCCTGATCCTGCCCCACAAGCCTGTGTGCAGACGGAGAATGAACAGGAAGCTCTTGTCAGTGCTGACCTGTGACTGGCTCTGGGTTTGCCTGGGGCAGAGTCCCGGGTACTGTTGAGACAAGGTCACTGGAGAGGACTGGCAGACAGCACGGAGGCCAAGTTCTAGCTCAGTCACTTCCTGCCTCATCACCCTGGGCTGTTGCTGGACCCCTCTGGGCCTTGGTGTCCCGTTCTGTGCAGGAGGAAGGTTTGGCCACATTTTTCACAGAGGGGCTTGCTGGGGGAGCAGAGAAGTGTGTAACAGCACCAAGGTTATGGCAGAGGGTCTAGGTTCAAATCCCAGCCCTATCACTTTTTTTTAAAAGATTTATTTATATTTAGGGAGAGAGAAGGAGATGGAGAGAAGCATCGATGTGAGAGAGATACATCGATTGGTTGCCTCTTACACGACCCCAACTGGAAGCCTGGCCAGCAACCCAGGCATGGCCCCTGACTGGGAATCAAACTTGCCACCTTTCGGTTCATAGGCTGGCTCTCAGTCCACTGAGCTACACCAGCCAGGGCTAGCCCACCCACTTATTGGCTGTGCATCCTTAGGCAGGTTTCTGAACCTTCCTGGGCCCCAGTTTTCTCGTGTCTGCAATGGGAATGGTAGTCCTGCTGCGCCTGCCATGCTCCCCTGGTTGGGGAGGGCGGAGCCCATGGGCAGAAGAGCTGTGAGGGAGCCGACCCACGGTGGCTGTTGGCTCGAGGGACTGGGGCCGCTCAGAGGCAACTGTGGTGATTTCCAAGGCCGGTAACGGCTGTCACCGCTCCTGACACAGCCAGACCTAATCAGGGCCCCGAGTCCTGCCGTCACGTGCCTGCTCTTCGGGGAGGTGTGTGATAATCACATCACGGTAAGGCCCCAGCTGCCAGCTCCCCGGAGGTCGGCCCTCCCCCCGGGCGGCCCATCAGCGCCTATATTAGGGTATTAAGGAGACTCCAAGCCAGAATTGGCCAGTGTTTACCCAGCAGTGAGGGGTGGAGAATGCCAGCTGACCGGGCCCCTGCACATGGCCCGGGAAGTCTCTTCACTCACTCTCCCGTCCAGCAGCACGTCGTCTGTGGGCCCCCTGCCCTGTGCTGGGCCCGGTCCTGGGCTGTGGGGCTGCGTCCCACGTGGACATGAACAGGGAGTGTGCGCAACGTGCTGCAGGGAGTCAAGTGCTGAGCAGGAAGTAGAGCAGGAGAAGGGTTTGGAGGGAGGGGTCAGCCGCCTGTCCTGAGCAGGTGGTGTCTGGACTCGGGTCCCTCAGCTTCCGCTTCCAATGCTTTCTGCAGATGGCCGTGGCTTCCAGATCTCTCTAGAAAGCAACTGCCTGGATGCTTTCCCGGGGGCCCCATTGGCTGCTTGGACTCAGTGTGTCCACGGCCAACACTAGCTCACACATTGCCCCAAAGTGGCCATTGGCACAAGATGCCAGCCTGTCCCTGAGATGGCGCCTTCCTCCAGGGGCTCTGACTGGCCATTCCCATGAAGGAGGTCCTGTTCTCCAGACCCTTCCTGTCCCTCTCAGGAGAGTCGTATCTCACTGTGCACAACCCCCCCCTGGATTTCAGCCATAGCTGGTGGCCCTCAAATTTGTCTCCAGCCCAAGCCTTCCTCCTGAGCCCAGGCCACGGGGACGTCTGTCCTCCTGGATGGCTCGCAGGGCCCACCGCCCACGTGAAGTCACTGTGTCTGCAGCGGGGCAGAGTGTGTGGTCCCCCCAGCAAGCCTGCTCCCCTTCCCAGCACCACTGTCTGCCCGAGGCCACCTCCCCACTCTGAGCTGCCCCCCACCAGCCATCAGAAGCTCTGCCATGCCCACTTCCCAAGCAAGGCTGGAGTCAGCCCCTCGTCTGCAGCTCCAGCAGCACCCTGTCCTCTCGCGGCCACCCCATCTTGCCCTGCGGTCATCTGCTCACACCGGTTGAGTGGGATTTCTGGAAAGCAGTGCCTGTCCTGCTGACCTGCCTCCAGTGGCCCCCACTGTCCTGGGGATGGAGTCATAACTGCTTACCACACCTGGGAGACAGTGTCACCTTCTGGCCCTGCCAACCTCTCTGCTCTCGTCCTGCCCTCTCTTACCCATCGCCGCAGCCAAGGGCCCACCCTGTGTGGCGGGGACTGGGCTGTGCCCTCCCTCCTACCTGGCTATTCACCCACTCTTCACTTGCTCCTCCCCTCCATTCCTTTTTCTCTCCAGATCCTTCAGGATCTGTAAAATGGGTTTAAGAATTGTACTCACCTCAAGGGGGCGCTATAAAGGACCTGGAACCGTGCCTGGCACTCAGGAAGCTCTGTGCACGCCAACAGTGAGGCCAGCGTGAGGTGCATGTGGTCACTCGGTCAGTGCCCGCTCCGCCAGCACTGGGCTCGGCATTCGGGTTGTGTGGACAAGACTCGGTCTCTGCCCTCTGCTGGACGTTCTTCCTCCTCTCCACGCCCCACCCCTCCCCTCGCCCGGAGAGTCCTTGTTCACCCTCCCACCCCACCCCAGCCCTCGAGGGCAGCGTGCGAGGGCAGCGGGCACGCTCCCCGACAGCCCCCTCCTGCCTGCCTCCTACGTTTTCCGATGGTGGTGTCCCCACTGCTCTCTGGGGGCCTGCTTCTCACACTGGTTCCTCCCGTGGCCCACTCGGTCCAGGTAAATGGCCACCCCATCCTTCAGGGGCTCCAGTCTCATTAACCCTATGTCCTCTCAGCCACTGCCAAGTTCCATTGTCAGCAAACCCTGTTGGCTCTGCCTTCAAAGACATTTGGAATCCAACCCATTCTTACCAGCCCCTCCCCACAACCCTGTGTGAGCCAGCACCTGTTGCCTGGGCCAGCCCTGTGGCCTCCTCCCTGGTCCCTGCTTCTGCCCTTGACCCCACAGGCCTTTTGCATGACACAGCCAGAGGGATGGTTTGAAAAGTCTCATGATGTCACTTCTGTGCTCAAACCTCCCAGTAACTTCTCTTCTCACTCAAATATTTGTCAAAGGAAAGAAGGAAAAAAAGAATGAATGAATGAATGAATGGCCTTTTTTGCATCTGTAGTACCTGGCACATAGTAGGTGATCAGAAAACACCTTCAACAAGACTACACAAGGGCATGAACAAGTGGGTGAGGACCTGGAGCACACAGTAGGTCCGTGGGCTCTATGGGCTGAAGTTACTGATTCTTGCCCCTGGTAGCAGCAGAGTCAGCTGCTGCCACCCCTCCCTCACTCACTGGGTTGGAGGTGGGGTAGGTAGGCTGAGCCCAGGCCATTTTGGGACTCTGGCCTGGCCTGCCCCACCGTCCTGGGTTGGGCTGCTGACGTGGCTGCCGGTTCTGGGAACCCCAGCCAGGCAGCAGTTCTGGGAAAGCTGCTGCCTCAGGGAGAAGTGTGTCCCTGGCTCCCTGCCAAACTGGCCCAGTTGTCTCGGAGGCCAGAGGAGGCTCCAGGCTGGCCCAAGACTGGAGCTTCAGGGATCAGTGGCTCCCAGGGGAGGCCCCTGCAGCCCCTGCTGTGTCGCTGGCTTCCTCTCCACACGCCTCTTGTCCCGGGCCTGAGTGCATCCTGTCTGTGATCCAGGCCCTTCAAGCCGGTTTCAGGTCAAGAGTCAGCCGAGGAACAAGAGGCCTGTTACATACACCCGCTGGCTCAGGAAGAGCCTCCTCCGTCACTTCCGACCGCTGCGGTCTTCTGACTTACCAGACTCGCCACTCACCTCCCCCCCAATAAAAAGAGTGAGTTAAATGTGTTTGTCTGCCCGCAGGGGTGCATTCCCACTCCAGGCGCTTCTGCTGTCTTCCTGGCTCAGGCTGTCACTAGCTCCGTGACCACAGCAAGTGCTCTAACCTCTCTGTGCCTCACCTGTAAAATGGGGTCTTTAGTGTGCCCCCCATAGAGTTGTGAGAACCAAGTTGATTAATACCTTGTAAGCTCTGAGAACAATGCCAGGCACTTAATTAGCACTATCTGTGCATAGCAATTATTAGCGACAAAAGTTGGGTATATACCTGTGTTTAAAGGTAGATTATTGAACTTGTAATTGTTGGAGGTTCGCCAACCATTTACTAGCTGTTTGATAAGCACAGGCTGTGCGTGTGCCAGGTGCTGCGCAGGCGCTGCGGACGGAGCACCGCCCACGGCGACGCAAAGCCCCGCCCCCACCGGGCCTCGTGCACTAGCCCTGGCCGGTCCCAAACTCCCAAATGCAGGAACAGTGAGACCGCGCAGGTTACGCCCAGCTCCGTGCACTGGCCGCAGGATGGGAAGGGCTGCCTCGCGTGGGGGCAGCACAGGATCCTTCTTCGGAGAACCATTTATGTCCTTTGTCTTTTTTTCCGTAAAGGATGTTTGTCTTACTGATTTTTTAAGGCCTTCACAAAAAGGCCACGATTAAGGCCATTAACCGTCCGAGGTGTAGATTGCTGGGTGCAGATGCCACCTTTTTCCAGCCTTCTGCTTGCTGTGTCTTTTTGCGACACGTTTGGTCTGGGGAAACTGAAAAGCGTTTGCAGTCAGAGCTTTCCGTCTCTGCCGTCTGCGTCCTGAAATAAACATTCACACGCGTAACATCAGTGGTGAGATTAGAGATGGTGATAAGTATGCGCCCGAGGAAAACAGGGTGCTGTGACGGAGTAGCAGGGGAACCCTCCTACTCGGGTGACGGGGTTTCTGAGGGCAAAGGCCGCGGGGGACCAAAGGGCAGGGAGTGCCAGTGTGCAGGGGCCCGAGGACCCAAGACTCTTGGAGGAGGGTGAGGGGACCAGATGGCCGTCGTGCGTGCATGGCGGTTTCCTGATTGTGACGGTTGCATTGTGGTTGCACAGGAGAGTGTTGGGGGTTGATTTATTCCTTGTGACTAAATAGGTGAGAGAGAGGAGCTGAGGGGGGAGATATGAGTGGAAAGGACAGGAGGGGAAAGGTGTGGGCGTGGGAATGAGGTGGTGCGTTTGAGGAGCAGCAGGGAGTGAAGGGGTGCAGGTGGCAGGGGCGCCAGGCCCAGCTGTGGAGGGCTGGGGGGGAGGGGCGGCTGGGTGGAGCCTCCCAGTGGGATGAAGTCCCTGGAGAGCGTGCAGTGGGGGCGTGGGGCCCCTGCTGTGGCCTTCAGCCCTTCCGTGCCCCAGACACTGTGCAGGTGCTCTGGGTCCACACCTGCCTTTCCTCAGCAGGACACCCGGAGCCTGATCTGGGCGTCACTCCCGTGTTGCAGACGGAGCAGCCAGAGTCCGAAACCCAGTAACTTGTCGGAAGGGCTCGCAGCTACCAAGCATCAGGAGGAGGTTGGGCATCGGCCTTTCTGAACATGACCCCAGAACCGAGACCCGGGTGGGGGCGTGGGTGGGCGCTGTCAGCGTGACCGGAAATGTGCCCCAGGACATTGCTTTGTAGAGGGCATTAGGCGTCGCATGCCAGGAGTGTGGGGGAAGTGCACGCCCCTGACCCGACAGGATTCCGCTCCTGAGCATTTTCCTTAGTGAGGATAAGTGGCGACCTTGCTGCAGCCGCGCCTGTGTCCAGGTCGCCGCCCGAGGCCTCCACAGCTGTCAGCTCACTTAATCCTCGCAGCCCTGCCAGTGACTCGGGAACTTAGGCATGGAGGTGTTAGGCAGCTTGCTCAAGGTTCCTACCGAGTAAAGCTCAGCAGGTGTGCACGTTGAAGGCTCTGGGCCGAGAGGTGTGGCGGTGGCCCCCCCGGGTGCCCCAGAAACCCCACCGTGCGCGGCCGAGTGACACGAGGGGTAAACGCGGTGAAGCCCAGTGCTTTGGTTCCAAATTTTGTGGCATGAACTGATGATATTAACGATATAGTGGGTTTAAAATGTAAGCTGTCGTATGTAGAGGGTGCTGCTATTTTTGGTAAATAAAATTCGTATTTCCCTCCCTGTACTCGTAGCGGCTTCTGAAAGGACAGATGTTCATGTGTGAGTGGGGTTATTGCTGGGCCTTGCGATTTGGCGAGTTCAGTTGTGTTTTCTTCTTGGGTGTCTGCACCTCCTCATTTTTATTCCCCAGTCATGTCTTGTGCGATGTCATGAACAAAATGAGGGAAGTACAGGGTTCCACCGATTGCATGGATACAAACCACAGGGCCTCCGGGTCAGGGGCGATGACGGGAACCAGCACCCGTGCTGTATGACAAAGGGGCGCAGAGCCTCAGGGCCACATACGGAGGCACTTACTCAGCTGGACAGTGGGGCCAGTGTTGGGCGTGGCTGGTCTCACAGGCTCCTGCAGGCATCTGAGGTCAGCCCTGCTGATGCGTGACCCACTCACAGGGCAGGGGACAGCTGCCCATTGTCTAAAGTGCAAGGACACTGCCGGCTCCTGCCTGTCCCATCCTCCACCAGGCTGGCCCGGGCACGTTCTCCAGGCAGCGTGGTGCCAGGGGCCTCACGTGCCTCACTCTGCTGACACTCTGCTGGCCAAAGCGAGTCTCGTGGCCAGCCCAGCGTCCCAGGGCAGGGAGGACGCTCTGACCGGGGCAGGGGGGCCACACTGTGAGGTCACATGGACACAGGAGTGAAGCATCGGGGCCGCTAATGCCATCGGGCTAACACAGTCGCCTCATTTTGAGTGCACCCTTCTCTGCCTGGGTGCACCCTCAGCCACCGAACCTGCTCTGTGAGGCTGGGCGGTTAGGCCAGCGCCTTCCAACTGTGTTTCAAGGAATTGCAGATCCCCCAGGGGGTTAATGAGGGTTTTGACACACCCTGAAATGAAGGTTGGGTGTGGAAATTAGTTTGGTGGTCACTGAGACAAGCGAAGAAAACGCCTTCCCTTACTGCAGGGCCCGTCAGCCTCTCCATGCAGATGTGCAGTGTGAACTTCCACCCGTTTGGGCGGTGCTCAGACTTAGCGGGCTGTGGGAGGTTTTTTTGTTTTTTTTTCAACACGTCCCAAGCATCTCTTGGGACAGGCGTCTCGTGGCTCTCACTCTGGGCCTTGTGCGTCTGGGTTGGGTTTCGTGATTATCCACACACGTCTTGGGGACACGGAGGGCCGGGTGTTGACAGAGACTCAGTGACAGGCGGGCACAGCTGTGTCTGGAGTGAGGTGAGTTCTGGAGGCTGCACTCAGGGTGACGGGGGTCGTGGGGACCATGAGTCGGCACTAACTGGGTCGCTTTCTCTCAGCAGGTGCCTTAGGATCTCCCAATGGGGCGTCTTGGCTCTGGGCTCACGTTCCCCGTGAGCTTCCTGGTCCTGGCGTGGGCGGCAGGCTCCGGTAAGTCACCACCTCTCATCGGCCCATTCTGGCCAAGCGCTCAGTGAGCAAAACAAAGACCCCAGGCCTTGAGGAGACCACACCGTAGTGGGAGGAGACAGCCAGGGACAGGTGGCCCTAATTATAGGTGCATTCTAAAGACCCTCAGGAGGAAGAAGACAGTGCACAGCGTCTGGCAGAAGTAAGGCCGGCTGCAGTGGGCTCGGTGGGGTAATCATATGGGTGTAGTGACTCATAGTTTTAATGTGAACTTTTCACCTAAAATGTCACGTGGTGTGCTTGAGTGTGATATTGTTACGTTGCAGAATCACATGGTTAAGATTTTGTAATAAAAAGGGGCGTTGTCTGTGCTGGACCCTGTAGAACAGAGGAGAGACTGCAATTTAAAACCCGTGCTCCGGGAAGGCCCCCCTGAGTGGCAGTCAAGCAAAGGCTGGAAGGACGAGGGGGCCGTGCAGGTGTCTGGGGAGCAGGGTCTCGGGGAGGAGGAGCCAGAGCAGGCTGCCCGGTGCCAGGTGCCGGGGTGGCCGAGTCTGGAAGGACCTTGCAGGGTGTGAGCAGAGGAGCAGCGTGCCCTTTGCACTAAAAGGGACCCCTGTGTCTGTGAGCACAGGGGGGGCCGGGGGGGAGGCGCCCCAGCTGCCGGGCGGCTCGGCCCAGCAGAGAGGAAATCTGAAGACAGACTGGAACAGGGTGAGAGAGAGAGGCATCCCAGGGTTTCTGAGCCGAGCAACCAGGAAGGACACAGTCATCATTTCTGAGGTGCAGAGGGGTATGGTTTTGGGGAGCAGGGACTCATGAGGAGAGTCAGACATTTATTAGACATATAAGACTCTCCTTAGCACGGCTAGTCCTTTACCTGGAGAACAGAAGCAAACCGGTGGCAGCTGTGGCGGGGCTGGAGCTGGGGTGTGGCTGCATAACAGAAAGTGCATTTGGGGTGTCCCCTGTACTGGACCCTGCACCCCAGGGCATTTCTTCAGCTTCGGAATCACCTCAGTGCCAGCTGGGAGGCTCCAGGAGCCCCGGTCCTGGCCCCGCTCTGTGAGGATGGGCGCCTGACCGGGTCTGGAGCTGTGGTTCCCTGGCTTTGTGATGGGCCCCTTGGTCCTGTTCGGGCTGGTTTGCGCCTTGTCCTGGTGGCGCAGGTCCCTCTTGCTGGTTGGGTTCTGGCTGCTCAGAGCACCCCTGTGTCTCCCCAGGGAGTGTGCAGGTCCTGCGTCGGCCCACCTGCTTCTCCGACTACATCAGCACCTCCACCTGCCAGTGGAGGGTGGACCGCCCCGCCAACTGCAGCACTGAGCTCCGCCTCACCTACCAGCTGGATTTCCCGAATTCTGAGTAAGCCTGTGTGGGAGTGGGCGGGCGGCAAGCCTGGCGCTGGGAGTCCTCCTGGTTCCGGCAGTGCCCCGGAGGGCCTGGGGCTGACTGGGCCCCGGAAGGGCACACTGTCCCCGAGGCAGTGGCCTGCGGCCATGGATGGAGTGCTGGGCCGCACCAGCAGTTCTCGAACCTGTGGTCTCGAGACTCTCACTTGCCTAGAAGTTAGTGAGGGCCCCAGAGGCTTTTGTCTGGGGAGCGTATGGCAGGCCCCCAGGCCCTGGGCTGCAGACTGGTCCCGGCCCATGGCCTGTTAGGGACCGGGCTGCAGAGCAGGAGGTGAGCAGCCATCGAGCAAGTGAACTGGTCTCTGGTGCCAAAAAGGTTGGGGGCCGCTGGCTCATAGCTATCGATGTTTACCTGATAAGGAATTAAAACAGAAAAGTTAAATCACACCAGCACACACGCCATCAGATCAACGACATCATAACATGCCACGTAGCCTCTGAAAACCCCACGGCACGCTTGTGGGAGAAAGAGTAGAACGGCAGATGACACTCGGTGTGACTGTGAAAGTGGTTTGGCCCCGTTGGTCCCCACGCCGCTCTCGGAGACCCGCTGGCCCAGACCACTGTTCGAGGCGCAGTGTTGGTGGTGGAGTTCACCGTGGACCGTGGGGCCCGTCATTCTCTGTGGCTCACCGGGGTGGCCCGTGTACACAGGGCACTGTGACAGGCAGTGCCCAGGACATGGTCGGGCGCACAGGGTCGGGGCCACCCTGAGCTCGGACGCACTGATAGAGAGGCGGTCTTCCTCAGCTGCTAAGGTGGGTGGGCGGTGCTTCTGAGCATGGTCAGTGGGCGGGACCAGAGATGGGAAGTTAGGGCCCATGCGCCACAGAGGGTCCATCCCCTGGTTTTGTATGTAGTGTTGTTGGCACGCAGCCACGCCCATTTGCTTATGCGTTGTCTGTGGGTGCTTTTGTGATAGGTCAGCACAGCTGTGTAGTTGGGACAGAAATGCTGCGACTCCCAAAGCCCAAAACTTGTACCTTCTGGCCCTTTGCAGAAAACGTTTGCCGCCCACTGGCCCAGCCCCCGAGACAGGGGGCTGGCTGTTTGGGGAGGCACTCTAGGGTCACACTGGTGCACAGAGCATGCACCCCAGTTCTCTGCACACTGGGGGGGCCATGCTCCCCAGATGTGGCTAGAACACACAGAGAGGCTGTTACAAATTCTTTAACACCACGGCTTCTTCCCTTGCACTGGCTTCTAGCGACGAGCTGAGTCCTGGGACCAAGGTCATCGCCAGGGGTGTATGAGAATCCATGGTGGGTGTGGTGGGGGCTGTGGCCAGCAGGGAAGGCCATCCTGGTCCACTGTCCCCACCACTCACCCTGGCTGCTCTGCTTCCAAGTCCCCTGATCTTGCCCTTGAGGCAGGACAACCAGGAAACTGGAAGAGCATATGGTTGCTTGAGGCATGTTCTGGAGACACCCGTGTGTGCGTGCCCGCCTCACACAGCCCCATGTCTGCAGAAACCACACGTGCATCCCTGAGAACATAGAAAGCACACTGTGCCTGTGCGATATGCTGATGGAAGACATGGTCAAATCGGACACCTATCAGCTGGACCTGTGGGCTGGGAAGCAGCTGCTGTGGAGTGGCTCCTTCCAGCCCGGCGAGCACGGTGAGTGGGGCCAGGCAGGGTTCGGGTGCTCCCAAGCCGGCTGGGCCCGGGGCAGGGGAAGGCCCCTGCAGCCTCTTCTTTGATTGGGTTCTTGCTCTCCTCTGGGCCTTGGTCCTCCCATCTTTGAAATGGGACTGGCTGGGCTCAGCGGTCCATCCGGCCCCCTTCAGCTCAGATACTTCAGCCCCAGAATTTAAGAGCCCTGATTGGGGTGTGGAGAGCAGGCCTGTTGGACAGAAGACATGCTTGCTGCAGATCAGAAACTGAAGGGGGAACTGTCCTTCCACCCTCTGTGGGCTGCTCCGGAAGGCTGACCTTGTCCTGCCCCCCAGAGTCCCTGCAGACATTTCCCAGGAGCTCACTGGGGTGGGGTGACAGGAGTTCAGGAGTTCAAAGCACTGTTCATCACTGTGTGACCTTGGGCGAGTCACATTACCTCTCTGGGCCTCAGTTCCCAGAAGACAGTTACTATCCCCATTTTGCAATTGAGTAAACTGTAGAACAGAGAAGGCAAGTAATCCGCCTAAGGTCACACAGCTACTAAGCAGCAGAGGAATCTGTGACAGGTGTCACAGAGCTCACAGCCTCCACCACTCCATCAGCAGTTCCTGAAGGGCCTGCTCATCCCGCTGGTGGTTGGAGGTGTCTGGATTGACCCGTGAACAGACCCACAAAGTAAAATAATTCTTATGTATGTTCATTTTGATGCACATTATATACTGGTCTGACTGCCTAAAAAGAGACTAAGTTTTTTAACACACGAATCAAGATAAAGAGAAATACTTAGTAAATAACAGCACACAGATGTGGCCACAGTGTGCGGGACGACAGAGGAGATGCTGGAGCTTGGGGACCTTCAGTGGGCACAGTCGCGTTCACTGGAGGAAGGTGGTCACGGCCACCGCAGCACTGAGCAGAGTCACGGCACCGTACAGACGTGCCGCACGGAGGCCGTGCTCACCGAAAGCCCCACAGGCCGGGGCCTGCGGCCGACAGGCCCTCACCAGACGCCACTTCTCTGCAGTGAAGCCCAGGGCCCCTGTGAACCTCACAGTCGAAGCCGTCGTCCCCCGCCTGTGGCAGCTGTGCTGGGACAACCCGTACCCTCCGGAGAGTTACCTGCACCGCGAGCTCTCCTACCAGGTCATCGTTTCAGATGAAGAAGACCCAGCGTCGGTGAGTGGGTCCTGCGGGGGCTCTGCACCACCTCTCGGGACTCTGGTGGGTGGAGACGCAGGCCCAGGGGTGGGAGATGGAGAGGATGGCGGAGCTGACAGCAGCCAGGGACCCAGAGTCCCAGCTTCTGCCCGGGCTCTGTGCGGGGCCAGCACCTCCCTCCTGGCCCGATGCCCAGTGCGCGGAGAAGGGACGTTATTTCTGGGCCTGCTCTCTGTCTGCGAAGGAAGGCTCTGGGCCACGTCTGAGTTTCCCAGGGGCCAGGAGGGACACTGAGGTTTCAGGAACACACTTAGATGACTGAGTCCCACAGTGAGACAGTCGCTCAGCATCACCTCCCTCCCCACCCTGACCGGTGAGGGAGGCCTCAGCTGAGCAGACAGGGCCGCTCATCCCTGGTGTGACGGTGGGAGGCTGCGGCTCAGACCCGTCCCCCAGAAAACAGGTCTGGCCATAACTTACAGCCGTCTGGCCGGGCTTTCACTGCGTGTGCTTTCCCGTGACACCCCATGGCATGCGATGCTTGCGTTCCAGTCGCAGCAGAGGTGGCGGCCCCTTTTTAAAGGAGTGTGTTGGCGTTCTGCACACGCAGAGCCGACTTCTCTGTGAAGTGAGTGACGGCAGGCTGCACACAGGGAGGGCTCGGTCCCTCTAGGGGGTGGAGGTCACTTCCTGCCACCACCTTTCCCCCTGGACGTTCCGCTGGAGGACATCTGCACACCTCGGGCCCCTGCGGCCCACAGTGCTGGGCTCCGACGTCTGCCCAGCCACTTGCGGGCTGCGTGATCTTGAGCCTGTCCCTTAACCTCCTTGTGCCTCAGTTTCCTCATCTCTGCCCTGGGGATGACGAGGCTACCGCCCCGTAGGGCTACTGAGAGCACAAAGTGGGTGACAGACAAGCCCCCATGCCTGGCAGGAAGAATGTCATAAACACCCCCTCCCTTCCGCCTGCGGCCACAGGCCTTGGGAATCCCCATCGGCTTCGCCCTCCAGCGCCCTGGCTGTAACGCCCTCCGTCAGAGTTGTCGGGGGCCCGCGCTGGGCCGTGCCTTAGTACTGGGCCCTGGCTGGCCTGCCCTTGGCCACCAGGGCGCGGGCCACATATGTAGGACGCCCCCACATCAGCTTCCGTTGCTGCCGCTTCTCTTCCTGGCCAAGCCAGGGAGGCCGTGGGTGTGGATTTCCATCTCTCAGCTGTGGTTCCTTCTCGGCCCCGGGCCAGGCTGCGGGCCAGGAGCAGAGTGGGGCCTGCGCACTGTGAGGCTCAGAGAGCACTTGGGGGGAGGGGGCGGCACAGATGCCAAGGGAAGAGGCAGGTCCAGTTTTGTCCATTAGCCTCCCCGAGTCCTGTGCCTGTTCAGGACACAGCCTGCACGGGAGAGAAGTGTCCAAACGACGGACGTGTTTGCCTCTCTTGGCTGGACCCAGCTTCCAGGACTCTACCCATTGCTTGGCCTGGCTTTGTTCTGCATTGGCTTGGTTTTCAGGCAGGCTCTTCCTTCGCGTGGCCAACATGCCCACAAGCAGCTCCAGGCCTAGGTCCCAAGGCTGCAGTGGGAAAAGTTTTTCTTTCCAGAGAGTCCTAACAAGAGTCCTGGGCTTGGGTCGTTGGGCCCGGCTGTGGGCAGGAGAGAGGGCAATGGTGCCACGCTCTGACTGGCCAGAGATGAGTCATGTGCCCATCTCTGGACCTGCAGGTGTGGTCAGCTCCACCCAAGCCAGATGGGCTGAGAATGAGGGGGGTGGTTCCCCAAAGGAGACTCCGGGGAGGGGGAACAGGGACTGGGCGGGCTGGAATGCAGCCCGGGTTAGCCAGACTCCCGCCAGAGGATGAACCGGTCAGTGGGCCTGGGACATGGCTCAGTGGGCCTGTAGGTGCTCAGCCATCCCAGGCCTCAGAATTGCAGGTCCAGCCTCTCCTGTTGTCGGTAGGGCAGAGGCTGTTGAGGCATTCCTTCCCCATGGCTCTTTTTCCAAGGTCAGAGCTGAACCTGAAGAATTCCTCTTATTAGTCATTGGCCAGAACTGGTCACATGCTCCTCTCTAACCAATCAAAGGCTAGGGATGGATGGCCACAATTGGTTTAGACCAGCAATTTTCAACCTCTTCCATTTCATGCTACATATAACTAATTACTAAAATTCTACAGCACACCAAAAAATATACTTTTTGTCAATCTTAAAAAGTATAATTTTGATTTGTTTACAAAAAGAAAATAGTAATTACCTACCCTTTTTGCTCCAAAGTGACTTTTTAGAAAATCAGGTGCCTGTATTTGTGTATAAAGATTTTTGTTACCAAGAATTAATCAATCAGACTTAACCTTATGATGCAACGTGGTCAATAAGATGCAACTCTTTTATATGACCTATGCATTTATGATTCAAAACAGGGCATTCACACTGGACAGCTATTGTTGTGTTGGCTTTGTTATTTTTTTATTTGACAGTCCAGGGGAAAAGAGGTCAGTGCCCCTGACTAAATAGTCAGGTACTGCATGTTTTTAAACTTCTTGCAGTGCACCAGCTGAACATCTCTGGTTTACATCAAAGAGGACAAACCCTGGAGCTGCAGACAGAGGCTTGCCTGCCCTGAGCTTTGGGCACCTGACCCCAGTGGCACAGATTCTGGGCCGGGGTCCAGCCGTATTTGCTACAGTATTGCAGACACCAGCTGTGGCTCAGACTGAATGGGATCAATTCTAAAAAGAGATATTAGAAGCTTATTGTGGGATTTTGGAAAAGGAGCTACTCTTTGTCCCAGCTGATTTCCAGACGAGGTTCCATCATGCAGGTGGGGTTTTGGCCGAGGCATTGAAGGATGTGTGGGAGTATCCTAGATAAGGAAGGAAGGGAAGACTAGGCCAGGCAGAAGGAACGATCTGAGCAAAGGCTTGGAGATATGAAAATTCATGGCATGTCTGAGGATTATTGGGAGGTGGGAATATATGGGGCAAAAAATGAGGGCACCAGTCCATTCCAGGCCATAAATGCCATGCTCGTGGTCACAGAGGTTACCATTCCTTGTGTACCTATTATGTGCCACTCACAGCATAGTCACCAACAGTTGTGAAAGCCCTGCAGGCAGGAAGTGCTTGTCTCCATCTTAGTGATGGGGACACTGAGGCATGGAAACGTGGTGTCACTCGCCCAGGGTCCTGCTGCTGGGAAAGTGGAGCTGGGACCTGCAGCAGGACCCAACCTCCAGAGCCCACGCTGTCTCTCCTGCTAGGGTCTTCCTCTCTGAGGGGGTCTCCCAAACACCTGGCCTTTTCTTCAAAAACAAACCAACCACAGAGTGTTCCTTGAGAGCTTGATTTCTCTTTTGTTCCTTAGTAACAACACATTTCCCATCATTCCACTCATCTCTAGGTGTTTGGTTCCTTGGGGAAGCAGGTCCAGCTGTTGCTTCCAACTTAAATCATGTTTAGAGAGAGGAACACTGAGGCTGAGAGGCTGTCGTCTCTCAGCTCTGGTGTCCCACAGCTCTCACCCTGTCCTCAGCTGCCACCCAGTCCTCAGCTCCTGTGGGAGCTCCGGCTTCCCCAGTTTCTCCAGCAGCCTGTCCTCAGCTCACTTTACACCAGACCTTTGACCCCAGCGCTTTCCAACCCAAGCAGAAGCAGAACTGCTGGAGCTGCCAGCACCAGGAAGGCGCTGCAGGGGCCTGAGGGGGAGGGAGAGCCACAGGGGGTCGGCCCCTCAGGGAGAGGAGCCCCAGGCAGAGGGTTCGGGCCACGCACTTGCTGGCAGAATTGATCTCAAACACAGGCTTTATTTCATTTTTTTAAAGTTTTTCAAAATCAAAGTAGTATTTATGTGAAGTAAAAATTTCAAATAGTGGAAAAGGACTTAGAAGGAAAACGTGTTTCTCTTCTACCTGCAACCTCCAGTTCCTCTTCCCAGAGGCCAACCGCTGCTCCGCCTCTTGCCGGGAGGGCAGGGAGGCTGGCTGGGGCGGGGGCGGGGCTGAGGCACGAGTCTCCTTCCGGAGAGGGTGCACGCCTGTGCAGGCAAACGTGCGTGTCCATCCCCTGAGCCCACTGCTACATACTAGTGACAGCACACAGTTACTGCCTTAGTTTCGGGGGGTCAGCAGTCTGGGCACAGCTCGCTGGGTCCCCAGCTGCAGCCAGGAGTTGGCCAGGGCTGTGTTCCCACCTGAGTCTTGGCTGGAGAAGGGCCCCTCCCAAGCTCCCGTAATGTTGGCCGCATTCGGTTTCTTGGGGGCTGTCGGACCAAGAGCCTCAGGTTCTTGCTGGCCCTTGGCAGGAGGCTGCCCTCCATACCTTGTGGCCTTCTCCAGGCCAGCAAGGGGCAGAGCAAGGTGTCCTAGCCAGCTGGGATTACAGCCTTCCATAACACAGTCACGCAGGTACAGTCCTGCACACCATTGCCTTTGCACCATCTGTTGGTTGGAGACAAGTCACAGGTCCTGCCCACACTCGAGAAGGGGGACCACACGGGCATGATACAGGGTGGGGGACTCTCAGAGTCTGCCTGCCACCATTTTTTTAACACGAAAGGCAGCAGACAACACATACTAATCATCAGCTCACCTTTCCCACTTAACACCAGACCTTGGACGTCTCTTCCCAGTGGGGGCTAGTGGGCGGGGCTGGGATTCGAGGCCAGTGAATTTGGGCTGGACCGTGGAGGCTCTGGGAGCCCACAAAGGAGAGAGAGGGGCACAGCGATGCTGTCTGTGCTTCAGGAAGATCACTGTCACGCTCCCTGCGTGCCAGGCCCTGTCCTAAGGGCTCACCTCCGTTAATTAACCCACTGATCCTCACAACAACCCTGGGAGGTAGGCACTTTTATGATCCCCATTTTGCAGAAGAGGACATCAAGGACCAGAGAGGTTATGTCACTTACGTAAGGTCACACAGCCAGAAAGTGACAGGAGGCACCCTTACCGTCAATTTACAGATGAGGAAACACTCTTTCTTGCCCAGTCATGCCGTGTGGCCAGTTGGTGGGGGTTGGGAGGGTGGGGGAGGGTACTGTCTGGACCCATCCCCCACAGCGCTGGTGGAGGTGCCAAACAATGCCTGGGTTGCAGGAATAACCAAATACCCAGGCTGGTCGGTGACTTCTAACCACCGTGGGGTCAGCTAAGGTCAGCAGCCAGAGTGGGGGCTGGTGTTCCCCTCCCCCAGCTGGTGCAGTAATGTCTTCCTTTCCTCCACCAGTACACAGTCCATAATGTGACCTACAGGGAGCCCACCCTCCACCTCCCAGCCAGCACCCTAAAGCCTGGGGCTTCCTACCGCGCGCAGGTGAGGGCCTGGGCCCAGAGATACAACAGCACCTGGAGTGAGTGGAGCCCCAGCGTCACGTGGCTTAACCGTGAGTGTCCTGTGAGTCCTGAGCACTTAGAGTCTCTCCTCCCCACTTTCACTGTGTAGCCAGACGCTCCCCCTGCCGTGTCCTGGGCGCCTCTAGCTGCAGGTCACAGGGTTCAAACTGACGCAGCGCACTGGCCCGGGCGGGGAGGCTGGGCTGCAGGAACGGACAAGCCCACAAAGCCTGTGCTTGAACACTGTGCAGATGTATTTCTCGCCTGGGTAACCGTCCGACAGGAACTTTGCTGGCCTGTGGATGGTTTTCCTCCTGAAGGCCTTATCATTTTCTAGGACAAAGACGATGAACCCTTTTTGTATCATGGACCCCTTCGGCAGTCTGGTGAAGCCTGTGGAGTGGACCCTGTTTAGAGTAAAATATATGTATTGATACTTGCATTTCAATAAAATTAGTTTCCCCTGTAATCTTATGTATTTTTTAATATCTTATTTACTTATTTTTATAGAAAAGGGAAGGGAAGGAGAAAGAGTGGGAGAGAAACATCAGTGTGTGGTTGCCTCTCATGCACCCCCTACTGGGGACCTGGCCTGCAACCCAGGCATGTGCCCTGACTGGGAATCGAACCAGCCACCCTTTGCTTCACAGGCCCATGCTCAATCCACTGAGCTACACCAGCCAGGGCTGTATTTTATTTTTTAATATTTACTTAAAATAAATAAATCAACCCCAAGTTAATCTATATATTTATTTTTATCATCACCCAAGGACATTTTTTTCAGTGCTTTGAGAGAGAGAGGGAGAGAGAGAAACATCGATGTGAGAGAGAAGCTTTGATTGGTTTCCTCCAGTGTACACCTGAATGGGGGATTGTATAAGCCTGGACTGGGGACCATACACACCTACCCAGGGATTGAACCTGTCACCTAGGTGTGTGCCCTGACTGGAAATCAAGCCTGCAATTTTTTGGTTATGGGACTATGCTCCAAATAACTGAACCACACTGGCCAGGGCCAAAATAAATTTTTTTAATGCATAAAATAAAATACATAGCCCTTATCAATGTGGCTCAATTGGTTAGGCATCGTCCTGCAAAGCAAAGGGTTGCTGGTTCAATTCCCAGTCAGGGCACATGCCTGGGTTGCAGGCCAGGTCCCCAGTAGGGGGCATGTGAGAAGCAACCACACATTGATGTTTCTGTCCCTCTCTATTTCTCTCCCTTCCTCTCTCTCTAAAAATAAATATATAAAATCTTTTAAAATAATATAATAAATAAACATTGAAAATACATAGGGTACAGGGGAAAACTAATTTTATTGAAATGCAATTATAAAAATATTTTAAATGTATCTGTTATCTAGGAATATATATTCACACATTGAAAACAAGATCTGGTGGTAGTTCTCATAAACACTAGGTTTTCTGAGTAGACGAGCAGAAGTGATATTTCATGGTCTGGCAGCTGCAATGTGATATGAGAATAGCTGTGACTCCTGTTGGGAGCTAAGTGACTGATGCTGCTCTTACTGTGGTTTGCTCCCTCCGTTCCTAATGGGAGGAAGTGCTAGGTGTCAGAAGTTAGTGATAAAGATGTTATTTCTGCCCCATCCAAGTTCCAGGACCCTTGACCTCCAGACCCTGCAACCTCATTGGAGGTGTGCGGACCCCAAGTTAAGGATATCTAAGGGCCCTGCCGTTGTCTGCATCCAGCCAGCAGAAGGGGAACGAGAGCAGGGAGCCCTCACCTGCTTCTTAAAAGCCTCAGCCTGGAAGCGACACACATCACTTCCTCTCATGCTCTATTGGTGAAACTGGCCACATGGCCACTCATAGCTGCAAGGGATTCTGGCAAATGTAGCACGTGACCCTCCTGACCCTGTGAGACACGTGCCACTGTCCACCCCACTGTGCCAATCAGGAACCAAGGTGCAGAGGGTGTGCAGGGCATGTCCTGGGTCACCAGTGAGGATATGACAGTCAGGCACTGCACTCAGGTGGTCCAGAGTCACTGCCCTTGACCTCTATGCTTCAGGAAAGAGAGCAGCAAATTCAAGATCCTGAGGTGGCACTGAGCTTTGGAGGAGCAGGGGACATTGAGGACCAGTGTGACAAGAGCTCAAAGCACAAGGGAGGGAGGAGGGGCTGAGGCGGGAGGGCTTGGGGGTGGCCAGATGGTGCAGGGTCTGGGAGGACCCTTTCCTGAGTCTGGGTCTCCAGCTCTGGGGAGTGAAGCCAGGCTGCGCTGGGCACAATGTAGGCTCACGGCTTCCCTCCCACTTCCAGACTACACATCCTGGGAGCAGCACCTGCCGCTTGGCGTCCTCATCGCCTGCATGGTCATTCTGGTCATCTGCGTGTCCTGCTATTTCAGCATCATCAAGTGAGTGCTGGGCTGGCCACTTTGGGGTGCACAGTGAGCAGGAGTCTCCCCTCTCATTTACCGGCTTGCAGTCCTTTGCTCAACGATAAATGTTTATTGAGCAGCTGCTGTGTGCGAGGCACTGAGGCAACAGCTGAGACAAAACTGACAAAGAATCTGTGCTCCTTGTGGGAGACAGATGTGAGCTTGACAAGTAGCCACACTGTTTCCACGGTGATCCATGGCTGAAGGAAATGTAACCAGGGGAAGGGCAGGAACGTTCCAGGTGCTGATGTAGGTGGGGAGGCCAGGGCAGGCCCTGACTGGGGGGCTGAGCTGAACCGGGTGGGGTTGGGGAAGGGACTTCCTTTGACAAAGGGAGGTGGATCGTGCCCAGGGTGTGATCCAGACAGACAGTGGGGGGCACGTGACAGGAGGACGAGAACTCTACACAGTTGCCCTGACAGAAGCGGGAGACCTGGGTTAGGTCCGGCCCTGGTGCTCGGCAGCTGTGCAACCGTCAGCCTTGGGCTCCTCCTTTGCAGGCCGGGATGTAGTGAGGACCTACTTTGTCAGCCCCCAGGGCCCCAAGAGAGTCTTGGATCTGGGTGGTTGCAGGGCGGGGGGAGCCTGGTTTCCAGTGAGGCTGAGCCCGAGGAAACGTGGCGGCTCAGAGCCTCAGTCTTCCTGTCTCTGAAGTGGGACTGACGAGCCCTGCCCTCCACGCAAGGGTCGGTGGCGGCTGAGGGTTGACACAGGGCGCCCGCACTTTGCTGGGCGCACATTAAGTGTGCAGGGATTGCAAGTTTTCCTCTGCATGTCTTGTCACCGTCACCTCTTAGCCACGTTGGGCCGTCTTTCCCCTTCTCTGAGCCTCAGTTTCCCCATCTCCTGTCCTTCCCAGCCCCACGCACTGTGTCCCAGCACTCTCCAGTCTCCTCGCTGTTCTTCGAACGCACCGAGCAAGTTCCCTCCGAGCCTTTGCAGTCTCTCTGCTCCCTACCGGAGAGCCCTTTCCCAGGCACCGCCACGAACCCTCCTCATCCACCTTCAGTTGCCACTCAGAGGCCATCTCTGCAGGGAGGCCCTCCCGGATCACACGCTCCATTCCTCTCTATTCCCTTCTTTGTTGTTATTCATGGCACTCAACGGGGTGTCATGTGTTCATTCAGTATCTGTTTGTCTCCCTCTTCTAGAAGGTCGGTTCTGTGAGGGCAAGGCTTTTGTCTGTCTTGTTCACTGTTGTGTCCCTGAAGCCTAGCACGGTGAGTGGTACATAGTAGGTGCTCAGTAAAGGCATGTTGACTGAGTGGAGTCAGCAGAGGCTCATCCAGGGGGAATCTGAGGACCTTCCCTCTCGGAGCTGACTCTCCGTGGCTCCAGGCAACCCAGGGAGAGGAAGGAATCTGTTTCTCCTGAGTTTCCTGGGCTTCTCAGGCCGCCCCTGCCGCTCCCTGGCACCTTGCTCTCGGCTGCTCTGTGGAGGGGATTTTGATGGGAAAGCCCAGAATTCTCTGCAGCTTGAGTCTCTCCTACTTCTCTGGGGCTTGTTCCCACTGAGGATGGAGACGTCGAGTGAGGACCCCTGTTCTGGGCGGCAGAATGCGGGGGCACAACCGGCTCTTCTGCCTGTTGGCCGGCACTTCACCCCTCTGGGCCTCGGTCTGCTCATCTGTGAGTGGGGTTGGCAGCAGAACCTGTTCTGCGGGATTAGGGCGAGACATCCAAAACCAGTCAACACGTGTCTGACCCCTGGTAAGAACCGGCGACTGCGATCATTTTTATGGGAGGAGAGACCAACACCTTTCTTTCTCCTTTCTCAGGATTAAGAGAGAATGGTGGGACCAAATCCCCAACCCAGCCCACAGCCCCCTCGTGACCATCGTCATCCAGGAGCCTCAGGTAGGAGCGTGGGTTGGTTCGGATGCTCTGGACTGCCTGTATCAGGAAGTGGGATTCAGGACGTGCGGGGTGTTAAAGACACCCACTGGCTTTGGGAAGGCACCTGAGCCGTCAGGGGCGTTTCAGGGGAGGTGGATGCAGCAGCTCACTCAGTGTGGTCGTTAGGAGCCCAGAGGTTTCCCTCCCCTCCGCGCAGCTTTCGTAGCTACTTTTTCAGCCTTTGGTGGGTTCCTCTCAGGTTGGTGTCTGGGTTCTTCCCCCGCCCTCCCCCCCTGGGGGAGGGGATGGCCCCTGAGGTCATCTGCGTGTCATCTCCTGGGGAGGTACTTGTACCAGGGCAGGTGGTCAAAAGGCGAGGGAGGCAAGGACGCATTTCCCGTGTCTCCCTCTTCCGGTCAGGGTCAGGTGGCAGCAAACCCCTCCTCATCTCTCATTGGCCTGAACTGCATCACATGCTGCTTTCCAAACCATTCCCCTGTAAGGAGTGGGAATGCCTGAGACCCACCAGGTGGCCACGGGGGGGGGGGGGCCCAGCTTCCCCAGTGGGAGGGCCTGTGTGGTTTGCCCAAACTATGTCAGGGTTCTCTAGGAAGGAGAGAGGCGGGGATGCAGGTCGTGTCTAGAAGGTCCGAGGGTTCCCAGTTCTCCAGGGACCCTATGGCAGGCTCTGGAGTCCGGTGGTGCTGGCTTTGAACCCTGGCTCTGCCACTTACCTGCAGGGTGGACTTGAGCAAATGGCTGAACTTCTCCGAGCTTCAGTTTTCTCATGTGGGTTGCCTCGACCAGCGTGGGGAGGAGGTCCCTGGGGGGCGGGGTGTGATGGGAAATTAAGAAAGACACAGACAGTTTTAAGGAAAAGCAGGGGCCAGGTGGGGCATTGTCCTCTGATGGAGAGACAATGACCCTGAACATGCTCTCTGTGTTTATTTTATAAGAAATAGTTGGATAAAACTCAAGGACGTTTTGCAGACTTAGGGAAAAACTGCAGGCATAATTGCTCTGTTCCCAGGCTATCTAAATGATAAATATTTCTTCTGCAAAAGTTACAGTCTCATTCAGCTGAAGCTTGCGGTTAACTGTCTCCTCAACCCGTGCGGGTCCCTGCTGTTGTCACTGCTGGCTCGATCTGCCTTGCAGATACAAGCAGTCAAGTGCGGCCTTGACAAGCACTCAACCTTAGCTTTGATGCCAGCCTTCACCGTCCTCCACAGTGGGTTATAGCAGTGTTTATGGAACAGGGCTAATGGGACTTCACCGGGACAATGCATGTAAAGTGTATATTACAGGGTCCTGCGCATAGCGTCACTATGTATCAGTCAGCTTTTGCTGTGTAACAAATTATCCCAAACCTTAGTTGAAACCATAGCCATGTCTGTACTCTTGCTTTTGCAGGTTGGCTCAGCAGCGGGTTTGGGTTGGGGGGATCTGGGCCAGGCCAGGTATGTCTTCTCTGGGCTGGCTCGTCCCCAGTGGCTTCCCTCACAGGTCTGGCAGTTGTCTGACTCTTACCTGGGCCAATGGACGTGACTAAGCCATGTGTTTTCCATCCTCCGGCAGGCTGGTCCAGTTGGCACAGTGTCACTTGTACCACATTCTATTGGTCAAAGCAAGTCACGTGGCCAGGCTGGATTCAAGATGTGGGAGGAGCTGTAAATGACTATGGCCATTTTTCCCATCAGCCTCAGCAACCTAATATTAGGGTCATCTCGCTAGTTCTCAGGAAACTGAGGCTCAGAGAGCTGAATGAGCTGATCTGACCTCGGACCGTGTGATGCCAAGGCTTACAGCCTTCCCACAGCATTGAGGCTCGCAGTGCTTCCTTTCCGAGCATCGCCGTACGCCAGGTGGGCTGGGGGGCTCTCTGCCGAGTTTCATTGGCTGTCTCTGTTCCAGGTGTCACCGTGGGGGAAGAAACCTGGAGGCCAGGAGCCAGCCAAGCGCCCGTATGTATATGAGCCTGGGTCACAGCCTGTGTGGATTTGGAAGGGGTGGAATCGGTGTGGTGGGCGCCACCATGAGAGGGGGGTCACACCCCCCCCCCCCGTATCTGCCTTCTCTTCCTTGGCACTCAGCACACTCAGCACTTTTCCTTCGAGGGGCAGCAGAGGAGGAGTGGCTGGGTAGGTAGGCTGTTGACCGAGCCCCCTGCATTGCCTGGTGCGTCAGGCACGTGCTGAACCCCCCTGGGAGTGCACAGTCTGGCCCGAGCAAGGCAGGCAGAGTGGACTGCCAGTGCAGCGGTGCCAGCCGTTAAAATGCCGAGTCACTGCACACTGGTTGGCAGATACCACTATCTAGACCCTGAGTGTGCTGCCGCCACCCTGGCCTCCTTAACTCCTGCCGAGGGCCTCCTGGGCCTGCCCACAGTCCAGTAGCTAGAGGGTTTGTACCTGGCACAGAGGGGGACTTCGGGACGCCAGGAGCCCCAGGACCCTACAGCCATTGTAACTGGTCATTACTTATGCTGTGTGGCAATAAGTATTTTAAATGCCATCATCCCTGACACGGTGTTTTCCCTAGTTTATAGATGAGTTTGTACTAAGTACCAGGTTGTGTGCTGGTCTTCAGACACCCCAAAGTAAGACACAGGCCCTGCCTTCAGGGAGCTCCCAGGGTGGCGGTAGGACAGGCTGGTGGATTCGTGACTGTAAAGTCAGGAAGCATCTCTGCGATAGACAGACATCAGCCCAGGGTGATACTAAGCTGGGCTTTGAAGGATGAATAGGAGTTTTCTAAGTGGAGACACTGAACCCTGACCACACCTTTCTTTGTTTTTGCAGACACTGGAAGACTTGTCTTACTAAGCTCCTGCCCTGTTTACTGGAGCATGACACAGAAAGGGATGACAGTTTCTTCAAGGCTGCCAGAAAGGGGCCTTCCCAGGGGCCTGGAAGATCACCGCGGTGCCCTGGGCCAGTCAGCACGACGATCCTCTCGCCGGAGAGCGTCAGCGTGGTGAAGTGTGTGGAGCTGCTAGAGGCCCCGGTGGAGAGTGAGGAGGAGGAGGAGGTGGAGCAAGATAAAGGGAGCTTCTGCCCGTCTCCTGAGAGTGGCAGCTTCCAGGACAGCAGGGAGGGCATCGCGGCCCGGCTGACAGAGAGCCTGTTCCTGGACCTTCTCGGGGCTGAGAATGGGGGCCTTTGCCCGCAGGGCCTGGGGGAGTCCTGCTGTCGTCCACCTTCAGAAGGCGGGAGTGCTCAGAGACCTTGGGCTGAGTTACAGAGTGAGGAGAGCGAGGAGAGCGAGAACGAGGAGCCTTTCTGCCCGGAGTCAGCCCCTCGGATGCAGAGCCCCGCCCACCTGGCTTTCCCAGAGGCACCCGCAGTCGTAGCCGACAACCCCTCTTACCGCAGCTTCAGCGACTTCCTGAGCCAGTCCTCAGGTGCAGGAGAGCTTGCCTCAGATGCACAGCTGTCTGAACACCTGGGGGGAGGGGACCCCAACATCCTCTCTGCTCCCCAGCCCTCCGAGCTGCCCGCTGCACTCCAGCCTGAGCCAGAAACCTGGGAGCAGGTCCTCCGCCGGAGCGTCCTGCAGCACAGGGCAGCCGCAGCCCCCGCCACGGCCGCCCCCAGTGGCTATCGGGAGTTTGTGTGCGCGGTGCAGCAGGGCAGCGCCCTGGGCGGTGGGTCGTCCGGTTGTGGCCCTTCCGGAGCAGCTGGGTACAAGGCCTTCTCCAGCCTGCTCACCCACGGTGCCACCTGCCCAGGCACACCTGGAGTTGAGGCCAGCAGTGGGGAGGGGTGCTACAGGCCCTGCCAGAGCCTCACTTCTGGCCACCCAGGGGTTCCTGCCCCTGAACCCCTGTTCACCTTTGGCCTGGACATGGAGCCGCCTCACAGCTCTCAGGACTCACTCCTCCCAAGCAGCCGCCCCAAGAGCCCCAGTCTGGAGCCAGTGGCAAAGGGGGAGGACCACCAGAAGGCCCTGCTCTCCCTGGAGCTGACCACAGACCCCCTCGGGGACGACCTGGGCAGTGGCATTGTCTACTCAGCCGTTACCTGCCACCTCTGCGGCCACCTGAAGTGGTGTGACAGCCAGGAGGAGCATGGCCAGGCCCATGTTGTGTCCAGCCCCTGCTGTGGCTGCCACTGTGAAGACAGGTCCGAGCCCCCAACGAGCCCTCTGAGGGGCCCAGACCCCCTGCCAGGTGGGGTTCCCCTGGAGGGCAAGTCCTCCCCGTCCTTCCCGCCTGGCCCCAGCAATGCTCAGAGCCCCAGCCGGAGCCTCCAAGTGGCGGCCACGCCCTCTGCAGGGCCCGTGTGCACGAGTGCATCCTAGGCGAGGGCCCCCTGGTTGCTGCGAGCCCCTCGCCTGCGCCTGTGAACGCCTTCCCGCAAGGCAGCCCGGCCGGCAGGTTGCCGAGACTCGGAGGAGCCACTTGCCACCTCATCGGTCCACAGCTTCTCCAGCGTACCCTCCCCATCATGTCCCCGCAAGGCATGTTTTGTCCACCTAGGCCCTCACAGCCCTTGTCTTGCCCAGTCCTGGGACCAGCTGCTGCCATGTCACTGGCCTAGATGCCAAGCCTAGAAAGTAACCTGGCCAGCAGGGGGGGCTTTGGGAGGCCTGGGCAACAGATGGGAGAGTGAGGCCCTGGGAAGGTGGTTATTTGCCCAGAGGTGCCATTCATTGGACGGAGCTTCATCAGGTTGACACTGGAGCCAGGATCTGGACCGTGGGGGCTGCTCAGTCAGGGCAACAGAGGCCCATGAAAAGGAGTGATTACCACGCGGTGAGTTTGCTGCCAGAGCCCTACACAGCTGTAAGGCTGGGCTCCTGTTAAGCGTGGCATCCCCAGAATAAACACACCCAGCTCCCTTGGGGCCGGTCTGCGCCCCCACGGACACCATTGCTGGCAGCCACAGAGGCCAGAGGGAGAGCCTCGTGCCTGTGACCTGGCTGAGCTGGGCGTTCCAGACACTGACATCGGGCACCTCCATCCTGCACGCTGGCTCAGACCTGGGGTTCAGTAATGCTTGTGTGTGTGCATCTCAAAGATGGTTGAGACCTGGGTTTGTATTTGCTGAGGAGGGCGGGGTGGGAGGGGCGGCGTTTTCTATAAATAAAGGTTCTGTGTCTCTCGTCACTGATGAAGCAAGCACACTGCCTGGCGCCATGGGGAGTGGGTCATCTCTACCGACTCATCGAACCCTTCCATCCAGGGAGCCGGGCCCAAGAGGTTAAATAACTTGCTCTCTCTGCTTGGGTGTCCCCGAGATGGGGGTTCAAGTACAATTAGTTGATTTAGGAAGTGCTCCCAGGAAACTGCCCAGGAAGTGGGGCAGTGAGGCAGGGAAGGGCAGGAGGCAGTAAAGGGTGTGTTACCTGACAGTGTTGGTGTGGCAGCCGCCGCTCCGTCCTGCCGGCAGCTTTGGAAAGCTGTGCACAGCACACACCTGTGGTGTCCCTGCAAAGGGCGGGGGGCTGGAGGCTGGGGTGTTTGTGCACTGTCTCCCATCACCATTGGATGGCTGCTTTCAGGGGTAACTGCAGCAGCTGCTGCTCCACTTTGCTGAGGTCACACAGCTGGTTGGTGGCAGCCCTGTAGCTGAGCCCAGGCAGTGTCTGTCACCCAGCCTCGGCAGCTGACCTGCTCTGGACATCTAGGTAGGTAGGTGGCATGGTGGAGTGGGCTTCAGAGGCAGGCAGGGAAGCTTAACCTCCTATGTGATCTTTCTATGTCCCCAAGTAGCTGCTTTGTTACCTTTGCAAGGTGAGGGGCTTGGCCGTTTGAGGTTCCTTCCTGCTCTGGTATTCTGCACAATGCACTAGTGGTGACGGGGAGCTCACTACCTTACATGCAGCCTGATGTTTGCTAAAAATGTCTGCACTGTGCTGAGCCCAAAGCTAACCCTTTGGCTGCCAGAGCCACCTCCACCCCTACAGCCCCCACACACACACATGGTTTACAGATGGGGAAACGTTGCTCTAGAGAGGAAGAGGGACTTGTTAAGATCAACAGTGAATGGCGGAGCTTGAACCAGCCATACCTGTTTACTGCCAAGCAACATGTTAGATGCTGTATATCTACTATGCCAGCACTAGCAGACAGGTCCAAGTATCATCCCAATTTTACAGTTGAGGAAGCAGGCCTTGAGGTTTAGCTTAGGGTTGCACAGCTAGGGATGCCTGGAGTCACACAGTTGAATCCAGGCCCGACTGCACAGCTCCCAGCCGCACCGTCTCATGTATAGCATGGCACCTGTCAGGTGTCAGCTCTTACCCACTCTGCCTGAGCTTTGTCTCAGAAAATCCAATTTAAAAGTTAAGCAGCAAACAGAAGGAGCACCTTTGTGTAGGCGGTGGAGAGGCAGTTGGGTTAGGAGTCCAACAGAATGGAGGCCGGAGCTGTTCTCTACTCAGGATTTTACACGAAAAGGAGACCCCAGTTGTCAACTCAGGCTGATAGTGCAGAATTAGCTGCTCGTGGGGAGGCTGGAATGGAGAATTAGAGACACCTCCCCCATCTCTTACCAGGATTTAAATCCAGCCTCCCAGTTTCAGGAAAGCTGGAGAAAGGCCACTGTTCTTGCTTCCCCACACCCCCATTTGCAGTTTAGCACAGGGAAGGAGGAAGCAGAGAGCAGGAGAGCCACGCACTGGATGCTGAGGAGACTGAGTGAGACAGGGTCCCTTCCCTCCTGGATGTTCTAGTTCCGTGGGGGAGAGGGACAGCGAACAGAGAAAAGGAAACATTGCAAATACTGGTGGAGGCTGTGAAGAAAACAGGATCTGAGACAGGAGGAGCTACAAGGAGCCAGGATGGCCGAGGGGAGGAGCGTTCTGAGCAGAGGGTGGAGCGAGCACCGAGGCCCTGAGGCACAAGGAGCTTGGCACACGCACTGCACAGAAAGACCGGCTGCAGCTGGCGAACCAGGGACAGTGGTGGAGACAGGCTTGGCCACAACGGGCACTGCGGTTAGGAATTTATATTTTGGCCTCAATACACTTAGCCCCGCCCACCGAGAAGCAGGGGCCAATAGACACCAGTCTCTCTTTGGTCTCCCCAATCCCAAAATGTGACCTGTCCCTAAGCAGGAGTCGGGGAAGAAATGGAGCCACTGGAAGTCTTCCCCAGTCGGACTCTGACCTTGCACAGGTGGAGGACTCAGGTCCCCTGATGCCAGCGCTCAGAGTGGTTAACGTCCTCACTGCTGACATTCTCACTCAGGAATGAGTTGATTGGCACCGGGGAATGGCTGCCTGCCAGGGCCTTTGTTGGAATTTTTTTTGACAAAAGACTTGGAAAGTCCCCTTAAAATCTGGTCCTTGCCCTCCCAGGCACAGGTCTCCAAACTGGGCATGAAACCCCAGGGGCCTTTGGGGCGTGAAGCCCTAGACTCCTCTGCTTTCTATGTCCCTTTTATCTTGCCTGTGCCTTTATAAAAAAAAAAGGAAGGATAATAAAATCTGTGTCATAGTCTTGTCTGAAAGATAGTCTCCATATTATCATCTTCGTTATCTCTTGGGTTTACTCCAGCCTGGCTGGGGCATGGGTGACAAGAGTCAGAAGGTACAAACAGCTTAGAAATCTAGAATTCTCAGCCCTGGCAACTGCTCCAGGCTTCCTTCACACTTCCTGTAAGTTTCTGATGGCTCCCGCTGCCATTGGTTAAATCTGAGTTGGGAGCCCCTGGCTTCTGCCCGGCCCGGGTGTCCCCGGCTCACCCTCCAGTGCCGGCTGGCGCATGCCCACTCCTTCCCTGGTCAGGACTTCTCCACGCTAGACCTGGCAATTCACTCCATCATTCAAATACTTAATAATGGAAAGGCAATTGTCAAAATACACTTCTCAAATTATGAGCATAGATCAAAGTTTGATTTTAGATTTACCGGAAGGAAATCAGCAAAAAAAGAGAGCATTGATTCAAAGAACAAAAATTAGGAAGCGATTTCACAGCAAGACAACAGAGCGTCTAGGGCAGTGCTGCCCAACAGAACTTGACCGTGACGGAAACGTCACACTGCCCATCACAGGGCCACTAGCCTGACTGTTGAGCGTTTGAAATGTGGAACGTGTGACTGAGGAAATGATTTTTAAATTTTGTGGAATAGCCTTTAAATTTAAATAGCCACCTGTGACTGGTGATTACAGTACTGGACAGAGCAGGGCTAGTGGCTCATTTTGGTCCACCACAACTTAATTGTTTCAGCCTCGAGGGAGAAGATCCAGAAAGACACAGGAAGAGAGAAGACGAACACGACTGCACCAAACGTCTGCCTCAAGAGCCACGAGGCGAGGCGGGGGTCTAGCGGATCAGGCGGGCCCGGACCAGGCTTGCCTCCCCTCTCCACCCGGCCAGTGCTGGAAGCGGGCGATGGGTGTGGCCAGAGCGAGATGCTGGCTGCGCAGTTTCCCAGCGCCCCCTCCAGGCTGGGCCGGAGGTGGAGCGGCTCAGAGGGGCCTGGACGTGGCCGGCCCCCTGGGGAAGGCTTAGCTGACCCTGGAGCCCTCCAGGGCCACTGATTCCGGTGTCCCAATGCCCCGACTCTGCACACACCCCCGCCTTGATTTTACAAGGATTTTTTCTAGGTGTTGTGTGCATCTCCTTTAGTTTTTTTTTAACCAAAAAACTGACTTTTTTCTGATTACTAAATCGGCACGTGCCAGCCTCCTCTGATTCAGAGAAAACCTAAAGTTATAAATAGGAAAGAGAAAACCACCGGAAATCCCACCTCTGCCCCAGCACCTGGTACACGTGGGTGTCACAGATGAATGTTTCTGAACACGTATCTATCTCTGTTAACATCCTGTTGAATAACTTTTCTGATGTTATTTTCCTACAAAAGTCATTCATTGAAAAAACCCAGCAAGAGGCTTTGAGCCCCCATGCGAGGCACGACCTCACTGGCTCCTCGCAGCAGCTGGGACTGCTGCGTGGGACTCGCCCATGATGCACCCCGGCCCCTAACCACCCCCATATCCTTACACCCCATTCACAGGCGAGAACACCGAGACTCAGAGAAGCAAGGGCTCTACCCTCATCCTGCCTCTCTTTGAACCGGCCTTTGCCAATGGAGCTGTGTGACCTTGGGCAGTGTGCTTGACCACTCTGGGCCTCAGTTTCATCCCCACAGAAGACAGGTAAGAGAAGTGCCTACAGCCCACAGTGTTGGGGTGAGGAGTGCATGTCACGATGGGTGAAGGCCAGGTGGCGCCAGCTTCTCCTGTGATGATTAACTTGTCTTAAGTTACCTGACAGCAGCAGCACAGCGGCCGAAGCTTCCGCAAAACCTCACCTTCTCCCAGTATGTCTACGGACTAGCTGGCGGGTGCCGAGGCAGGCGGCTTCAGATCAGCGGGAGGCCAGCTCCTTGGCCCCTGCTGCCCCCTAGTGGCCCACTCTGGCCCCAGCGCCTGCCTCTGTTCCGCAGCTCCAGGTCCAGGTGCAGTCCCACGGTGGTGCACGCAGAAAACCAGGCCTGGGAGATCCCCACCTGTGCAACCCCACCTCTCTTTCATTTCTGCATTTCTTCCCCACCAGCTCCAGTGCCTGACAAGCGGGCGTAGCTGACAAACATTAGGAACTCCTGTTGCTCCAAGGACTGTGTGACCTGTGACGTGGGGCCAGTCATGTAATCTCTCTCTGCTTGCTTCCTCATCTGTAAAACTGGAATAATAACAGCACCGACCTTGTGGACGGACACACTGTTAGACTTAAATATGTTAACACATGTGAGGCTTACAAAGGTGCCTGTGCATAGTCAATGCCTGTCCAGGTGTTTGCTAGCATTTGTCTCATACACTGAGTCAGTCTGTGGGTGTTGTGGAGGTGAGGGTATAAAACATAAAGGAAATAGCCCTGGCTGGTGTAGCTCAGTGGATTGAGTGTGGGCCTGTGAACTTAGAATTATCAGTTCAATTCTCAGTCAGGGCACACGCCTGGGTTTCGGGCCAGTTCCCAGTAGGGGGCATGTGAGAGGCAACCACACATTGATATTTCTCTCCCTCTTTTTCTCCTCCCCTTCCCCTCGCTCTAAAAATAAATAAATATAAATAAAATATTTTAAAAATATAAAGGGAATAATGACATTCTAAACGTCATGTTACTTTTTTGCC